CATCACCTGTGGAGACAAAGTATCTTCCAGTTCCACCATGGGCTGAGATTTTAATAAACTGAAGGGATTAAAGACCAAAGAACACTAGATAGTCCACACATAGGTAAACTATTGCTGAAGTATCAACAAATTCTTTCAAATTATTTAATTGATACACTCTTCACTGCTCTTTCTTCTATGCTTATGACAATGCCCACCAGTTCATTTTGTTAATATTCTGGGAATTAATTCTAGGAAATAAAAGTTTTAGAAGAAGATAAAATGAGTAGAAACTTATTAGAGACTTTCAGGGAAAGAATCCTACCAGTGACGTTAATTTATGAAAAGAATTGTTATAGAATTGATTCTATCAAATTTTCTGAAATTGTGCATTGAATCCCATGAGTGGCCTCAGGAAAATAGACTGTGCTTCTGAGACAACCTGTTGTTATTTTCTAAGAGTTATTCTTGGGCTGAGTAAACTTTATTTTATAACTGCACATGATATTGAATTTGTAGAAATGGGATTGTATTTTGTTTGTGAAATCTGCTTGGTATCTCCTGCTGCTCTGAGAATTTGCTGCAGAAAACTATTCATCTGTCTTCCACTTTTCTTATCTCTACCACTTTCACTTTTCACCACAGATCTCTTTTTCTTACTCCTATGCTTAATCTCCCTAGTATTTTTTAACTATGATCCATTAGATATTAAAGTTATCTTAAATTGTCAAGTAAAATGTCATATGAATATCAAAATATGATGCTTGCTGAGGTAGGTTTATACTCCCTTGCTAGTCAATGAGATGCATATGTGTCAGTGTTTGAGTATTTTCTGAACACGTAGTAACTATTATTTCTGGCACGTGTGTGGCTGATTGTTTCCAGAATGAACAAAACATAAGGCAGCATAATTATGCCTGGTAGATGCAGGCCACACTCTCAACAGTGGTCTTGTTTTTATAAATTAGCTAAATGGTTTCCAGAGAATGATGTACTGAACTGTTTGGGACACATTTCTTTTAAGAAAATGATGAAAGGCTTTGCAAGTAGTTCCAAATGGTCCATATTTGCTTTGTTTAATAGTCAGGGATATTAGTCACCTGGAATGTATCTATAAAAGATTGAGGCTGCTTCAGAATAGTCTAATTTAATCTTTACTTTGATTCTTACCGCTATACTTATTCCTAGCACAACTTTACCACATTAATGAAAAGCTAATATAAAATTAAGAATAGAATTATTTTTGTTTTTGTCTTAAATCTGTATAGAGTGTTGCTTTGTTTTATTTACATTTGCATTTTTGAAATGCAGTGTTATTTAAGCAGTTTTATTAGTGGACCTAACTTCTTATTACAGAGAATACTTTCAGTAAAATGGCAGTTTTCAGACTTGATCATAGCAAAAAGTAAAGTCATTGAAAAAAATGTTAATTTCTGTGTGCAGCTAGGAGCTGCTGGAATAAAGTAGTTCACAGAAGACAAATGATTACACAAAAATAATTTCTACAAATTAATAAAAGAAATAGGAACTCACAGTGTGTCTTACAAATATTACAAACTTAGGGTCCCAAGTTGTTCTAGGGCAACATATCAAATAAAAATCATAAGCTCTGCTTTAATTTTTGTGTTCCCTGGAAATTATTTATTCATAAGTTACCTTAAGAATAAATATCTTGTCCTAAAGGACACTGGTTTTCATTGTCCTTGCAATACTATCTGATCAGATGATACTGAAGCCTACTGGTATTTCTGATGATAGCCTCTGTTGGAATCTGAAGAGGAAAATGAAGACAGATTTCTTTGAACAACAAGGATCAATTTGTGTTTTTCCAGAGAAGATTTTTATAAAGGCATACTAATTTTATTTCTCACTAAATGCTCTTGAAAGAGAAAAAATACATATTTTTACTTTATCAGATACGACTATCTTTTTCTCATCCCATTTTCTCCCAGCAATATAACCAATAGCATTTCTTAAATAACAGTAAGTATTTTTGAAAGTAAGGAGTTGCTAAAGGTGCCTGCTAAAGCATTCCAACTTGCATAGAAAGAGAAGCGAAGGTGTTATGGCAAAAATTTTGAATGGACCTCAGACTCTGAAGACACACACTTCTGACTCCTGCAACAAGTCAATCAGCTTGTCTTAAACTTACAAGCTTTTCTGCTCATGAAGTTTGCTTGATAATGCTGTGCTATCTGAAGTTCTAGAGATCCAGTGTGAGCCTCAAGTTTGGGGCAAAAGTGGAGCAACATGTAGCCATACTTAGTCACAAGATTTGTGAAAATCTTAGTTGATATGACTTTGTACCCATATGAAATGGTATGACTTTTTTGTTTCTTTGGAAATGAAAGATAATCTGAAAATTGAGGTTTTCTTTTTAATCTGTTCAGATGGAATAAGACAATGATAAAAATTCTTTCTCAGTGCTTAGTCTGTAGCTTCTGATGACACTAGTATTTTTACTATTCCTCAGGAAAGGTTTTCATATGATTCTCTAGGTCTGCGGTGAATGTACTGTAATGAATCTCCTGTGAATTGTAATGAATCTCTTCTTAATTCAGAAGCTACTTTAAACAAGCTTAATTCCATTTTAATTCCTTATTCCATACATTAAGCAAGTGTAATTCTATTTCTTTATTATCTATTTCTATTTAGAGATCTGCTTTACATGCTAGCAGAAAAACAACAAAATCGGAAGCAAAAACATGCTGATCTTCAGTATGACTCACTTGCATTTTCCTCACAAACAGATTAATAAATATTAATGTCTATTGCCCTGATAAAAAAAACATATGAGAAGAACTCATACCCTCTGAGAGGCCTGCTGATTGCTAAATATTTCTTGCACATCTAACTTAAAAAGTGACACAATTCAAAATTCTGTTCTGGATGAATACAAGAGAAAGGCAAAAGTTCATAAAAACTACAAGGAAAAAAAAAAAAGCAACGATAAAGTATAAGAGAACCAGGAGAAGGACTGAGATGGTGTCTCCAGGAATTCGTAGTCTTTGAAACTGCTTTCAAGACTTAATTGCCAAATCTTTCAGAGCTGCATTTTGAACCTGTTTGGAGTTTGTTTTGTTTTTCTTTTTCCCAAAAGAAAAGGTCCAGTTATTTCCCAAGATCACAAATGAACTAGCTTTTATTCAAAGTTGTATTTTAAAGTACAAAAGCTCAGCATAAAGCATATCTAGCATTTTGCTTTACCAGAAGTGGATTATTTTTGTTGCCCTTGCCACTAAATCATCTTCATAAAATAAGCCTTTTTTTTTTTTTTTTTTTTTTGCAGGTTGTTAATGCAATAACTTTTCATTAAGATTTGCCCTTCAGAACTCTCAAATAATAATGCCAAAGACTAACTTAATCTCTAAACAGTGCCAGCAGCTTTCAGAACAATTCAATGTGCTAATTGCTTCATACACTTTCCACAATGTAGTCCTTCAATTCTGAATGATTTTTACAGAAAACCGCTATCGTTGGAGTCTGCAGCAAATATTTATCTTGTCTTAATGTGGTATGCCTTTGAAAGAACTTAAGAAATTGCAAGCTGAGAAAAGTAAATTGTTGAAGTAAAGCCTACAAAAGGTTTTTTTTTTTTTTTTTTTGTCATGTCAGTAACAGTTCCTTAAAAAAGTCTTTACCTGTAAATGTCCTCTTTTAATCTGTACATTTTCTAAAGGAGAAAAAAAATATAATGGAATGGTGAAGGCTGGAAGGTACTCCTGAAGTTCATCTACAATAAATTTGCTCAAGCAAGGGCATGCAGCCCAGGACCATGTAGAAGCAGCATCTGAATTTGTCCAAAGAAGGGATTCTGCAACCTCTCTTAGCACTGCTCAAATGCTTCATTCACCACAATGAGTCAAGTGATGTTTTGATGAGTCTTTTGAGTCTTGATGTTCAGAAGGACCCTCCAGTGTCCCACTTTGTGCTTATTATTCCTTGACACTGGTAACCACTTAAAAGAGTCTGTCTTTTTTGTACCCTCCATTCAGGTGCTTATAGATATTTATATGATCCCCAAAAGCTTCTTCGCCAGGTTGAATGGTGCCTACACCCTCAGCTTCTCCTCACAGGAGAGGTGCCTCATTACCTTGATCACCATGGTGCCTCGAAGCTGGTCTTGTTCAGTAGATCCTCGTCTGTTTTACTGGGAGGCCTAGAAGTAGGTACAGCACTCCAGATGTAGCCTTGCCAATATTGAGCAGGGAGGACGGATCACCTTTCTTGACCTTGACCTTTCTTGGCCATATGTCTAATGCAAGCAAGAAAACCACTATCCTTTTTAGCATCAAGGATACATAGCTGTCTCCTGTTCAATTGGATCTTTACCTGAACTCCCAAGTCCTTTCATCCGTAGAGCTTCTTTCCAGGTGGGTAAGTCCCAGCATATACTGGTGCCTGGGATTTTTCCTTCCTGAGTGCAGGGCTTTGCACTACTTATTGAAGTAATGAGATTCTTGTCAGCCCACCTGTCCAGGCTGTTATAGTCTTTCTGGAGGTCTGTGTGGCCCTCTGGCAAATCAGCTTTTCCAAAGTTCATGTCACTGGTGTTTGTACTGAATGTGTAATATGCCCCATCATTTAGATTATTGATGAAGATGTTAAGCGAAACTGAATCTAGTACTGACCTCTGGGGTACTTTGCTGTCCAACCAGTTTTCTATCTCCCTGTCTACTCATTCATCCTGTATTTCATCAGCTAGTCTATACGGATCTTGTGGGGGATAATGCCAAAGATCTTACTGAAGTCTATGTAGACATTATCCATTTCTCTCACTTTGTGCATCAGGCTGGTGATTTAATTACAGAAGATTGCCAGGTTGGTCAGGCATAACTTTGCTTTGGTGAACTCATGCTAATTATTTCTAATGGTTTTTTCTTCTTTGTGTGCAGGGAATGGTTTCTAGAATTATCTGCTCTATTATCTTCAAGGGGAAATAGGTGAAGCTGACATGCTCGTGTCTTTTTTCCTCCACTTCCTGAAAACATGGTTGACATTTGCTTTCCTTTCATTTTCAGACTTGAGCTATCAAAACTGAAGAAAAATTTTGAGAATGGCATTGAAATCACATACGCGGCTACCTCATCACTTTCTCAGTAGATAAATTCATCAAGGCCCATCCCCTTATGAATATCTGTCGGTTCTGTCCACTTATTCCACTTTTAAAACAAGCTAAAAGTATTGCTTTTAAAATCAAGTGAAAAGAAAGCAGTGCTTTAGTTGTCGTGTGGGATGTGGGAAAGGTTTCTTTCTTGATGAGTGAAGATGAAATAGCTGGTATGAAACTTACATATATTCCAAGAAGTGTTTTGGACAGCCAGCGTAGTTATTCTACGTTGTTTTTTGTTTGTTTGTTTGTTTGTTTTGTTATTTTTTTTTTCAAGGAAAGAATTAGTCGTCTGAGTGCTTTAGAGAAGTTATTTACTCCCTTATTCCTTATTTAGAAAGTTCTTGTCTCTGGCCATGTTTAGAGTCCTAGAAGCCTATTTTTTGCCAAACTTTTAACATTCTTAGTAATGAAAGCCACTTTAGATCTTTTCCTGTGTCTTATGCAAACCTCTAACTAACCTAGGAATAGACTCTGGTTTCCCATTTCCCTGAGGCTCACTCTGAAGTAGTTGAAGGGGCAATTTGTCACAGAGATAAATCCATCTTACCTGTTACGCATCATGTAGGCAGCACATTTATTCACAGAGACAGAGAAGGCATGACTGTTAACACTGCTGAATCAGTGCTTTCTAAACTGAGATTATAGAATCAGTGCTTTCTAAACTGAGATTATAGAATCATAGAATTCTGTGCAGCAGATAGCAGCAGAGGGGCAGTCTGACAAAATGATGTCTGACATGAAAATGTGGATAAAGCAAAGGTATGGAATTGAATTTCTCCATGCTGAAAAAAATGGTACCTGTTCATATTCATTGATGCTTTTTGAATGTTTATGGAGACAAACGAGTGATGTCAGTAGAATAAGGCGGTGGATGGTATGTTTAAGCTGTAGTGACAGAGATGTGAAAGACAAGCCATGTTTTGCATGGCCATGCAGATTTTTTTGGGAGTGGTATGCAGGCTCTCATTCATCTCTGATGAAAACGCATAACAAATGGTGGTGACATTGTTGAAAACTGATATTTTGTAGCCAAGAATTCTCTCTATCAAATACTGCTAGTGTGCTCTCTGGATTTGTTGTAGTTTCCATGGAAATAAGCTGGAGGTATTACTTTCAAAGCAACAAGTGTGTGTATGAGTGTATGTGTGTATTTATATCTTTTTTTTTTTTTGGTCAGATGTGGACATGGTTAAAATTGTTTGCACACTTTTGAGATACTGTTTTTTGTGTATTTTGGAATGAACACACTTCCTTATTTATTCTTGTAGATGTCTATGAAAATTGAGATTCATTTTAGAAAGAATAGACTTTCTGTTGTTTTTCCTTGGGATTTTCATTATAAAAATTTTACTTTGTATCTGGTGGGAAGGTAGGAAAGAGAGGCATTAGCAGAGAGACTTCCTGGAAATAAATTAGCTGAGAACTGTAAATTTGTCTTTTCTCAGACATTTCTATCCCTGCATAATCACAATATTTCCTTCAAAGTAATTAGCTTAGAATCATTCTTACAATGGAACAATAGGAAGAAAACTTTAGGGACATTTAAAGAAACTGTATCTATTTGGTACATTAAAAACTGAACTGGAAAGCAAAGTTTGTAAAAGGTTATATAATTAAATAAAATTTTATTTTATAGATTTTCCTCTTCCCTGACACCAAAGGTTTTCAGTACTCAAAACAAATGTATCTCATTTTCAAATTAAATTGAGGGGGATATTTTAAATACTTGCAAATACATCTCAGATCTAGTAGTACATCACGATGTAAGAGATTATTCTTTTACATCATTGTCTCAAAGCTTGCTGGGGGCACAGATGAACAAGTCCAAGCAAGTCCTGGGCAATGGTTCAGAAATCCTATGTCTGGAGAATAGTGATGGACAATAGCAGGGGAAACGATAAGCCGCAGATTAATGGCCAGGAAGCAGTCTTTTGTGTGGGCTTATCTCGAGGAAGATGGCCACAGTCTCCTACAAGTGTTCTCCTAACTCTATGCCTTTGATTAATTGGGTTTTAAGAGATTGAATTAGAATCTAAATAGAAAGGAAAATTCAAGGTATTTAGCGTATCTCCTGGCCTGGGATGATTAAGGAACCAGCAATATAGGTGTGCACTATAGTGAATGGTAGGATAAATCCTACTTTAAAAAAAAAAATAGCATCTGAGGAAATAAGGCCAGGCACTGGAGAGCAACACTGCCACTTATTGTACAACAGGACTTGGAACACAATTTCCAAGTAGCCAGGCTAACACAAGGCAAGCTCTCCTCATTTAAAATCCTGGGAATCTGAGAGAATTATCAGTCTTACCACAGTGAAAGACATGGACTATGTTGTGCATTTTTTGCTTTAGAAAGAAGCACAGAAATTGTTGTGGCCAAACAGGGAAGATAAGCTCAGCAATAATCAGATAAGTGGGAATAGTTAATGACCCAATTACAATGCACTAAATAGCTAAGTAGAATTGTAGATTCTCAGCAAGTCGGAAGTACTAACTTTAGTAGGAGATGTACCACTCAGAATTTGGCATGACTGCCATACTTACTAGGCTTAGTACACTAAGAAAAAGAGCTCGTACCTCACTAGATTCTCCCAGATCATAGCCAGCTTCTGTGAGCAGATGGTTGTGCAGAACTGATAAGTGTAAGTTCCATTTGGTTCTTTATATGCACATATATATATTCTGGCAGGTAGCAAGAAGTGATCGACAAGTGTATCAATGGTATGTTGTGTGTTTCACAGCACAATGCTTTCCCAATAAGAAGCTATGCTTCTGAAGCAATCAAAATGGGATAATTACATACTGCTTTCACTTCAGGAAAAATGAAAATAAAAGAGATATAAGGCGGCTAGAAACTGGAAAGATTATATTACTCATAATGGTGTCCCTAGCAAACTTGACAGACAATTCAGTGCTGTAGGACTTCAACTAGATTCTGTGGAGACTTACAGCATCCAGGATTGTGCAGTCTCTAAGGCAAAAATGATCTTTTCAGGAATTTCAAATCACAGTATAAGCAGCCATCAATATTACTAGAGGTGTTCTAAGGCAGCATGAAATCAGCAACTTAAATAAATGTAAATACTAATTCCCATGTTGATTGGTCCCACGTTCTGTTTATGATTCTGTCTATATTAACTTTTCCAGATTAGAAAAAAAAACAGTGCAGTGCTATAGAGTTTTATTTTAATCACCTATAATCAAATTAAGGGACCTCCAAAATGATGTTGTTCTCTGTCATGAATAAAACAAATTAGCATTTTTCTCTTCACACTTTTGCAGTGGAGTTTCCCTCCACCTGATATCCCAACATAAAAGGAAGAATAAAACCAATAAGCACATGAAGCATTAGCATGCAACAGGAAAGTGGGCTGGTGTCTTTAACAGGGTACATCAACGATGATGTTTTGTCATACCAAATCTGTAGAAGGTCAACTTATTTTCCTGATTACTTTTAATCTTGGCTTCCTTAAGAACCTTTGCAGAGCTATTGTAATCACATGGCACGGGCCAGTTCATTAAATCCTCAGCTTGTTGCTTGCAGATGTTTGAGGCAGGTGTTCTGCATAGACCAGGGAGTTTGCTTTTTTCTGCTGCATGTTGCATTGAAGGTCAGAGGTTATACCTCAGTGGTAAGGTCTCAACTGCAAGGCAAGTCTCAGAGGTCTTTGTTAGGGGAGAAAAAGAATTCAGTCTCCTTAAAATTTATGTACTGCAAAAGATAACTGCACCTGCAGATTGCTGCTGTTATTGAAAACACATGATGCCTGTTGGAAGAAATATAAAATGCAACTCTGTAGTTCCTTTTGAGAATATGCAGAAACTCCAAATGATCTTCATTAGACTAGAGATACCTTACTGATTAATCTATCATTCAACAGTACACAGATACAGTACGAAATGTGTATTCTTTCAATACACTTAGGCGTTCATGAAAATTCATGTATATCTAAACATTTACATTGGGTTGTGGTGCATTCGCCATCAAACAGTCACCCTGCATGATATAAGGTATGTCAGCAGGCAGGCATTCCCAATGACCCAGCTAGTTCATAATTGGAAAAGGTTAGTCCAGTCTTTCCTGACCACCTGTGTGTTGGCCTTTTAACTTCCCAAATGGAAAGAGCAAAGATAGATTCTTCTAGATGCAGGAAATCCTATGAAGTAGACCACCCTTATTAGAGAATCTTCTGTCTTAAAAAGACCACTCTAGTTTACAGGATAAAAATCTACTTTGGTTATGCTAGAAACAACATCAAGTAAGTCTCAAACTTTTGCCAGTTTTTGTTATGTTGCTCTGAATTAGTGACATACATACAGAAAAAGATGGAAATGGTCTTTGTGTTTCTTAACTTCTATTGACATATGCAGCAGCAGCACTTTAGCATTCAGTAATGATATGGCAGTGATGCTAATAATTGCAGAAAGTTGCCAAAAGTTAAGACAAATGCTAGAATAGAGTTAACGCTTTCACTACCATTTGTTTGTCAGAAAGAGCCATTAATTTCTTAGTTACCATGTAGGAACTCTGAACAATAAATCTTATATTTGCACGTTGTTCTGAGTGCTCATGAAAATTTTATGTGAAATAATGACAGGTGTTATGGATGTGACACTAAGTGTATTATGCCACTGTACTACATATGCCCTATACACTAAACACAGTTGGATAAATTGTGTACAATATTTTTTGATTTCTGAAAAATCTGTATTTATCAACATGTGTCTGTAGTTTCCTAACAGCCATAATTTTCATAGTTTAATAAAGTGAAAATATAAAACATCTAATTTCATTATTTAAAACATTTCTGAACATGTAAGCTGAAGAACCTTAGCATTTGCCTGTTTATTTTGGAGATGCCACATTTTCATCTGTTTTTTCTTTCCTTATTTTTCTCCTGAGTAGTACACCTATGACATCACATCCAGAAATCTATCTGTAGTACTTGTAATGTACTCTTTTCAACTGGATATGAATGGGAACAATGTTATAGTCTGGAATTTTTTGCAAGGAACAAAAATTAAAAGAAGAAAAAAAAAAGAAAAAAAAAAGACATCTAATATACATATGCTCATGTAAGCCATAACTCAGTGGCAAACATTGGAATGGACTGCCCAGGGAGGTGGTGGAGTCACCGAGCCTGAGGGTGTTCAAGGAAAGACTGGATGTTGTGTTGAGGGACATGGTTTAGTGGGAGCTATTGGGAATAGGCGAACGGTTGGACTGGATGATCTTGAAGGTCTTTTCCAACCTTGGTGATTCTATGATTCTATGATTCTATGAAACTAAAAGCCTTAATGAAATAATGAGCACTGTAAAAGAGTAAAACTGAATAGTTTTTAACTAGTTTTTTACTACATTTTTACATGCACTGTAAAGCGTGCTGCTGAATGTTATCGAGATTTTAATAACAATTTTTACATGATAATAATTTATAGATTATGAAGCACAAATTCAGAAGAGGCAGTGGGTATTCTAACACTGATATGTGTTAAATGCAATGTCTCTGATAGATGACAAGATCCTGTGCAAATATTTCCTCCAGTTAAAGTATGTAGTGATGCATAGTCTGAGAACTGACGTCACGCCGAGTCACCTGAATTAAGATGGTATCTAATCTTGAGAACACATAGTTTTAAACTAAATTTTCATA